AGGTCCTCCTTTTCTCTTATTGCCGCCAGTCCGTTACTTTTCTTGTGATGGTGCAAGCCCGCATTAGGACCGTGCGACTCTACCTATTCTTCGGCTAACTTTGACCTACTGCAGGTACTCAGTTGTGCTTAAGAAGAGTCGTGCCAGTGTGGCGGCGGTCAGGAAGCAAAAATTAAAACATGAGTGTATGCATCTTGGAAAATGGCTTTTAATGGCGCCGTTTTTTGGTGAATGTTTCTTTGCTGCGTGGAATCATGAAGGCCGTCGTTCCTCACAACGATTGTGGCGAAATTGTTCTCATGGCCTTGTTCTTTCGGCAAGAAGAGGTTAACATAGTAGATTGTTATTAGGGACTGGCCCAAGTGCCATCGTCGATCGGTGTGAAGGAGCTGTGCGCACGCGGCTGTTGCGTCTCGTTGTGTCGCCCCGTATATAATTTCATTATCATCGTCTCACAGCTCGCCTTGTGACTGCACTTCTTGGCCCAGGAGTATCTGCTCTATAAAGTTCTAGACGAAAACGAACATGAACTTTCGTTACATCGACAGTAATCGCATGTCTGATTCTCTGTGTTTTCCAGGATCTCGTTTAAGATCTGGTAAGAACCATTTTTTCACGTTAATGAAGATAGACACTGGAAAGTGTTTTTGGGCGCTGTTAAGGTCAGGGGCACTTTACAATTTTGCTAGTTCCTCTTGTTAGTTCGGGCTAACTGACAGGTTTCACTTTGGTGATCTGTAATTTAAACAATTGTGAAGCTGCGAAATTGTTCGAATGAGCCACTTTGAGTAATTACAGTTCTTCGCAAGTTGATCTGTACAAGCTTAGCTGAGTGCCCCCATGCCCCCACAAAGCTGAACTGCGCCTAATTTTTTGTATATTTTAGTCCCGATTTTCATCCACCCACATGGACTGTAGATGTCTGGCATTAAGTCTCACTGTTGAGTTCTTTCATTCCTATAACCCCACTCCCTGCTGTGTGATCCACTTTTGCTTCCCACGTCACCCATTTGCAACCGCGGCGTCTAGAGTTTCAAAAAATGGGAAGTTGATGACTGGCTATAGTTGTGTCGTCTGAGGTCGCTATGTGAATTTAGAACTTTACCGTCTTCCTTTCCAATGGCGATACATTTCTCCTTTGAAACAGTATGATCTTCTAAATTCCCTGTGATTAACACCATAATTTTTCTCAAGCCATTTTACATCTTGGGAGGTCCTTCCCAGCACTGGTTATAAGTCCGAACAAGCCTTTTCGAAAGCACAGTGTATGGTTGCATGAATGGAGGACGCGTGGTCCCCGCCCGCTTCAGAATCAGGCACATCGTTGTTGGGGAATCCCCATCAGGGGGGGGTCGTATATGGCCGCCAGGAGAGGGGGGTGCGTATTGTCTCGCGAATTTTCCTGTTTC